TTTTTTTTTGAAATTTTCAAATTTTGACCCGGCCGGGTTATGAAAACCATTTAATTAATTTTGCATGGCCTAATACATATCATCAATCGCTTAATCATTTCATTTGGCTTGTGAATATCCGTCGTTTCACTATCCATATCATGAAATTATTTTATGTAAATGGGAAAACGGGTAAATAATGAAAGGTGAAACCTGAATCTGGAAAAGTACTGTATGAAAGATGAAACCCCCTGCTGAAATGACAAAGTTCCAGTAAAAGACAAAACCCATAGCGAAAAGAGGAACTCCTGACGAAAGATGAAACCTGAGTTTAGAAAGTACAAAAGACGAAACACCTGGTGAAATGGCGAAGCCCAAAGAAAGACGGAACCCGTGGCGAAAGGAGAAACCTGACAAAAAGGACTGTAAAAGTATGAAAAACAAAACCTCCAGCAAAATGGTGAAGCCCCAGTGAAAGATAGAACCGTGGCGATTCTAATGAGAGGTAAAATTTTGGCGTTTAAAGAAAACTGTGCAGTTGACGAAGTAGGTGGAAGGATCCCAAGCCGACTATTATTTTTAGCTTTGTTAGTGAGGCATGAGGGTTATTATACTAATACTAAATCATAAAAAGTTTCTCATAAGTCCATTGCTTGGAACAACTCCCGTGCAAGACCTGCAAACCCACTGGCAATTGCCACTCTGAATCCTGACACTTATAGCTTCCAGATTCAGGCGACGTTGCGTGACAACTACCAATAAACAGGTGTGGGAAGAGGTTCCCCTCCGCCGAGCTGCCGAAACCCACCGTCAATTGCCACTCTGAATACTCAGGCTATGTTGCGTGACAACTAACGGTCGACAGATTAGAGGCGCAATAGTGCGAAAGATTGAAGAACAAGTACCCCATCTGATATCAGATATGATTATACTACTAACTAGTAAACAATTGCATGATTTCACATGATGAGGATCTTCAAAACTTTGGCTCGCATTACATAATTGTTTACTAATTTCCGGCCGGAATTCAAAAATAGAAAATAAGCCCGCATTATCCGCATTATGGTAAAATTGGGAATCATCCAGGGCGACCATAAAAAGTGCAGTAACGTGATCATGACATTTGGCCTGCATTAATCTAGCTTAGGCCG